GGCTATTTTTTGGTTGCAGCCATCATCATTGTTAGGCGGGTCTGGGCTGGATTCGAACCCGTCACCTTAGGTGTATGTGGCTGGCACCTTAACTACTTGAGCCACAGGCGCCGAGCCTTTTTAGCAATTTTTAAGTGTATAATTCAGTGGCATTAGATACAATCATAGACTGAGCATGGTAGTGCACACCTGTAGTTCCAGCTACTCAGGAGGCTAAGACAGAGGTTCACTTGAGCCCAAGAGTTTAAGGCTACAATGAGTTATGAGATGCCACTGTACTCTAGCCCAGGTAACGGAGCAAAATCCTGTCTCAATCAATTAATAATTTCACAATGTTGTGCAACCTTTGCCACTATCTACTTCCTAAAATTCTTTTTTACTTCCTAAATGGAAATTCTGTACCCATTAAACAATAATGTCCATTTCCCTCTCTATCCCTTTCCCCAGAAGCCTCTATCCTACTTTGTGTGTCCATGAAGTTGCCTATTTTACATACTTTATCTAAGTGGAATCACAGGGTTTGTCTTTTAATACAATATTTGAAGGAGACTGTGTCTTTCCAAAGGTTGTGCTAAATTTTTAGAGAGGTGTGGTGTCAGGATAAATCCCCGGGAGTCAGGCCTTGCTCTGTCTTCCCTTGCTGCCATTCCTGTCAGTACCAGCTAACCTGGACCTTGTTAACAACTGACACAGACTGACTCCAGGTGACCTGGGCAGACCCTTCCTGGTCTGCATTCCTACCTGTAGTACTTTACCTGAGAACAACAGTGAAGTGATTTCCTTGAAGTTCTCCCAATTTCAGAGGGTTTTTCTGATAGCTGAAATTCCCTAGCTTAAAGTTCATCAAGCACTTATTCAGGTGGGCAAGTCTTTGTGCAGTTATTCTTTGGAAAAAAAAATAGAAAGAGGATCATGACCTATTAAGACATCTTACTATAGGAAACAAGACTACACTACAGCTATGACCAATAGCAAAGAAAAGGCACCACAGTAGATGGGGTAGGATTCCTTCTTCAGCATAATGACATGTGCCCCTGTTGGAATGATATAACCTTGGCCACATTTTATATGCATAAACCTCTTGTATTTATATACTGATCAGTAACAGAATAATAATATCCATGGAATGGTCTACTTTGTTGAGAGAAGGGTGAGAAACAGGTTGGAGACAGAGAATAAGTCTATATAACTATAAAGAATGGCATCAAACATTTAATAAGAGGTTAGTCATATTTTTGTCTATCAGAAAATACTGCAAACTCATTACAGAAAATTTGGAAAATAGAGAAAAGAGAAAGGAAAAGAAAATTAGCAGATTCAGCTCAGGTGCCAGCCACATACACTGAAGCTGGCAGGTTGAAATTCAGCCCAGGCCTACCCAACAACAATGACAACTACAATCCCAAAATAGCTGGGCATTGTGGCAGGCACCTGTAATGCCAGCTCCTTGGGAGGCTAAGTCAAGAGAATTGCTTGAGCCCAAGAGCCTGAGGTTGCTGTGAGCTGTGATGCCATAGCACTCTACCCAGGGTGACAACATAGTGAGACTCTGTCTCCAAAAAAAAAAAAAAAAGAAAGAAAAAATAATAGATTCATCCGGAAAAAAGAAAAAAAATCTACCTTTTTTCCTGACATCTAACTTTGTATTTCCTCTCATTATTTTTTAAACATATCTTTAAAGATATATACAGATTCCTACCACACTAGTCTGTGTTCTACTGCTATCATTTAATATAAGTATTTCCTATGCTATAAAAATTCCTTGCCTTCTCCATTAGATAATATTTGTAAAGGCTCAATCAGTTGAGCCTGTGGCTCAAGCAGCTAAGGTGCCAGCCACATACACCTGAGCTGGCGGGTTCGAATCCAGCCTGGCCAGCCAAACAACAATGATGGCTACAATAAAAAAAAAAATAGCCGGGCGTTGTGGAAGGCACCTGTGGTCCTAGCTACTTAGGAGGCGGAGGCAGGAGAATCACTTGAGCCCAGGAGTTTGAGGTTGCTGTGAGCTGTGATGCCAGGACACTCTACCCAGGGCAACAGCTTGAGGCTCTGTCTCAAAAAAAAAAAAAAAAAAATTGTAAAAACAGAGTACTGAAAAACCTCTGTCCTATCTCTATTCCCCAGTGTCCCTCCCTATTGGCAGACAATGTTAAGCTCCTGTATTTCCTTCCAAAAACATTTTACATATATATATAAATATATATATATCTATTGTCTCCTCAATTTTGGTTTATATATACACATATATACATACAACGCATATACACACAGAAAAATACACAAATCATAAATGTTCAGCTTAATGAATTTTCACAAAGTGAACACACCCATGTGACAAGGTCCTCCCTTTTAAGAAACAAATCTGATACATTATAAATTACTCAGTATCTTTTTTTTCACTTAAAAAGCCATGTTAGAGATTTGCCTCATCCCTGCAGTATTTCTGAAGCTGCCTTGTTCTCTGTACAGCTACAAGATGGTGTGGCTGCTATCTTGCATGGATATGATATCCTTTTTCTCTTTTTTTTGAGACAGGGTCTTGCTCTGTTAACCAGGCTGGAGTGCAGCGGCTCTATGTAACCTCAAACTCCTAAGCGCAACCAATTTTCCTGTATCAGCTTCTTAAGTAGCTAGGACTATAGCACCATACCCAGATAATTTTCCTATTTTTTAAAATTTTTTTGTATGGATGGGGGGGGGTCTCATTCTTGTTCAGGCTGGTTTCAAACTCCTGGCCTCAAGTCATCATCTTGACTCACTTCTCAAAGTGCTAGGATTATAGGTATCAGACACCACACCCAGCCTTTTATCTAATTGGTCCTTTTTAGTGGACATTTAGATCGCTACCAATCTTCTGTTATTACAAACAATTCTATAGTGTGTGTGTGTGTGTGTGTGTATTTCTTTGTACACCTATACAGGTGTATATCTGGGACAAATCCTAGAAGTGAAAAGGATATATTTGAAATCTTAACCCCCAGGCTGGGTGAGGTGGCTCACAGCTATAATCTGAGCACTTGGGGAGGCTGAAGTGAAATGATCGCTACTGCCCTCCAGAGGTTCTGTCAGTTTATGTTCACACTATTAATAGCAAGGTATCTAAGTCTCATCTCTGTGTCTCTGTCTCCTAACCAACAGCATAGTGCAAACCTTTTTCTGATGAGTTAAAATGATATTTTTATCTTGGTATTTATTTGCAGTATCTTAAAGTAAGGTGAAACATTTCTTCATGTGTTGACTCTTCATGCTTGTTCATCCTGTTACCTATTGTTTTATTTGGTTATTAAAATTGTTCTGTTTGGGGAGTATAAAGGATCCAAAGTAAAATAAAAAAAAATTATTCTGTTTTTACATAGTAAGGATATCTACCCTGTACCACACATTTTGCAAATACTACCTCCTATTCTCCCATTTTGTGAGTTTATTTATAATATATATTTGAGACAGTCTCACTCAGTTGCCCTGGGATTGAGAGTTATGGCGTCATAGCTCACAGCAACCTCAAACTCTTGGGATCAAGCATCCTGTTATCTCAGCCCCTGGGGCTGCTGCAGATGCCTAAGGTTTGAGTCCAGGAGGATCTAAAACCCAGTGGGAGCCAGCCTGAGTGCCAAAATCAGTGGTGGTGGCGGCGGCAGGGTTGATGAGGTAGGCTGTGATTATGCATTGGGGACTGGAAGACCCATCAGGACCCTCCTGGCTGGTCATGGGCCAAGCAGCCTCAGAAACTCCAGCCCTGCTGCCATGCCTATGGCCATCTTGGCCCAACATGGTAGAGAAGGGCTCCTGGGAGAGAGGAAGGGGCAGCCTTCACAGAGCAGGCAGCTGCAGGAGGGTGGTGCCATGTGGATGTTTACTAGGAGAGTGTTAATCCTCCCCAGATGTGTCTCTCCCAGCCAAGAGTCAGCCACTTTCTCCAGAGCTATTTTTCTGAAAATATGGGCCAAAACTATGGGTGTACATTACACATGGGAATGCATTATACGTGGTAAAATATAGTAATATCAGTTTATCAGCTGATCTCATGGAATTCTTCTTTCTTTGATTAAAAACTTCCCTGTACTTCCCAAACACAATCAATTCCCTGATGCATTATAAATCAGCCTGTTTATTTCCTGGTTCAATATGTGCAGAAGCACTTTGACCAATTTTCTTAGAGGAAAAAAATCATCAGGACCCTATTAGTTAATATAAAATGCAGACAGCTCGCCAGAGAAGTCAGGAAATTGGCAAATCTTGTACTCCACTTCCCTGTATTCCAAGGGCCAAACATAATCTAGGGACAATTTCAAACAGGGTTGTGGGCCAGGATTGGTGGCCCACACCTATAAATCCTAATATTCTGGGAGGCCAAGGTGGGGGAATTGCTGGAGCTTGGGAATTTGAGACCAGCCTGAGCAAGACTGAGATCCTGTCTCTACAAAAAAAATAGAAAAATTAGCCAGCTGTGGTGGCATATGCTTGTAGTCCCAGCTACTCGGGAGGCTGAGGCAGGAGTATTACTTGAGTCTAACAGTCTGAGGCTGCAGTGAGCTAAGATCATGCCACGATGACAGAGCAAGATTCTGTCTCAAAAATAAACAAACAAACTAACTCCAGGAAAACAACAAAACCCAAAAAGTCTCAGGGTTTGTGAAGCAGGCATAGTCTAGAAGTAGGCCAGAGGCTCAGAGTCACCAGGCTTTTGGCATCAGATATATGGGGACAATGGAAGAACCCAAGGGCATGAACTAATCCAGTAATTGTACCCCAAGGGATTTAGAAGGCAGAGGGTTGAATATAAAATAGAAAGGTAGAGCTCTTCTCTTGTCAGTAATTACTGCTATAGAAACTGAGAAAATAATTTAGAGTCAAGAACAAAAAGGAATCAAATAGGCAATCTGACTGTCCTAGAGAGTATTCTGGAAACTGCACTGGATCATGCCATAGAAGAATCTGACAGCTCTGTCCTTTTTTAAATTTTGAGATAATATTAAGAACATACAATTTACCATTTTAACTGTTATAAAGTATACACTTCAGTGATTATCAGCATATTCACAATGTTGTGAAACTGTCACCACAACCTAATTCCAGGACATTTCCATCATCCCAATAGCTAGTCAGTAGGCACTCTCCCATTCCCGCTCCCTAACGCCCCAGGCTGCTTTTAATTTACATTCTTCAAGGGCGGGCTCAATGGCTCACACCTGTAATCCTAGCACTATGGAAGGCCAAGGCAGGTGGACTACCTGTGGTCACAGGTTTGAGATTAGCCTGAACAAGTGTGAGACCTGGTCTCTAAAAAATAGCCAGGTGTGGCCGGGTGCAGTAGCTCATGCCTGTAATCCTAGCACTTTGGGAGGCCAAGGCAGGTGGATTGCCTGAGCTCATAGGTTCGAGACCAGCCTAAGCAAGAGCAAGACTCCATCTCTAAAAATAGCCTGGTGTTGTGGCAGGAGCCTATACTCCCAGCTACTCAGGAGGCTGAGGCAAGAGAATTGCTTAAGCCCAAGAATTTGAGGTTGCTGTGAGTTATGATACCACTGTACTCTACTGAGGGCAACAAAGTGAGACTGTCTCATTAAAAAAAATAGTTTATGTTCTGTTTCTATACACTTCTCTATTTTAGACATCTCATATACATGGAATCATATAATATGTGACTTGCTGTGCTTGACTTCTTAGTGCAATGATTTTAAGATTTATTCATGTGGTGTTATGTGTCAGTACTTCATTCCTTTTTATGCCTAACTGAGACGATCTATTCTTGAATACACAATCGATATCTACTTCTGAATTCCACCAACAAAGAAAAAAAGAAAAAATTTTCCTCAGTTCTTGTTAGTGCAGGTGCTACCTGAGAAAAGACGGAAGGAAGCTGACAATGTCTTTGTGACAC